GCATCATCAGATTTCTGCCTAACCAGGTGCTGTTAGGCGCTGTATCGGCCTCAAGCCTTGTCAGCCCTAATCGCTGCAGCCGAGAGCTTCGGGCAACGTTTCTCTCATCGTGGACGCGGTGAGTGGCGCACGCAAGTGACTCTTCGCAGCAAGGCAATTTAATGCAATTTAGGGCTTGCAGTTCAATCGCGTTGGAGGAACACAGTGAACTGCGTGCGGAGAGAGAATGCTTCCCAACGGGGGCGCAAAATACACAACAAGTGGAAAAAGCTTGCAGCTACCAAAATTTGTCCTGCTAGGTACGTGGCCTTGTTGCGCATAAAGCATGTTTTGTGCTGAGTCGCAAAGAGTACTTCGCAACGGGGGCACGCGCGTACAGCGCGCAAAGGACGTTCTGTGCTGCAAGCACATGGCTTGTGTGCGCAGCAAGGCCACAGGCAGTTAGTTGCACGTACCTGAGAGGACATTTCTGCTCTGTTGCACTTGCTTTCTGTCTCCGTTACGATTCATTCTCTCTCGAGGCAGTTGTGCTTCTCTAGCTGGTGCTTATTGGTGACGGAAATAAGGAGCCAGGAGTATCCATATTCGCCATTAAGCAGGGAACCAAGGAGCTACATGGGGCCCCCAACCCCTTGCTAGTCAGGATTTAGGATCAGCAGTGCGGCAGGCTTGTGTGTTCCTAGCAGCATGTTTGCGTGTTGGGAGCAACATTTTTGCTGTTTTCGTGCGTTTTCCTTCTTCTTGTGGACCCCAGTTCCTGCCTTCCTTTTGCTCCCCAGCTCCTGCTCCCCAGCCCCATTTAGCAATTCTAATTAAAACTATTGCTTCTAATAGTTTTTTGTTCCTGGTAGTAAGGGCAGGGGCCCCTAGTAGCTTCTTGCTCCTAGTAGCGTCCTTGGGCTCGGTTTTTGCTACCTGCTGGGTTCAGTGCAAAGCAGAGACTTCTTCTGGGCAGATCTCCTCCAAGGCCAAGCACAAGGCTCGGATCGCCGAGGTGTCTCCAGCTTTCGCTCGATCTGCCAGTGTCTCCACTGCGGCCCGTCGGAGGTAGGAGACGGAGTCCGTGATGAGAGCACCACTCGCAGGGCTAAAAACACTCCTGGAGCTGGAGACAGAAACCAAAGTTACAGAGTTACAGAGCGTAAGATATAGAAAGGTTCAACCAGTTCAAGACAGCAATCAAGCAAAGAAGCATCTCAATTCCTATGTTTAATCTCCGGTCCAACCTTTCCCTTACGCAAATTTAGTCCTTCTTCCCTCCAAGACCTTGAGGGCCGCCTCTTCCATTGGATCCTCTTCTTCATTTTTGACGCCTGACTGCACAGCCACCAGCTAATATCAACTTCTCAACAAGTGCAGCCCTGCCTGGCATCACCTCTTCATCATGCACAGCCATCTGCAAGATGTGCTGCATTGTGGCGGAAACACCTGCACTGCAAAGGAATGATTCTGACAAAGTTCAGCATTTATGGCCTTCCAAAAGCTTGAAAGCAAAGGCGTCATATATATCGATATACTTATTGCTAGTAGGTTGGGAGGCCATCGCTATTAGGTTGGAGGCCATTGCTATTAGCCACAAAAGAAGAGGGGAGCAAGGTCTAATATATTAAGTTTCCCTAAAAATCTGGAACCAAGCACGGAAACGCATCACTTTTGTGAGCCTTTCTCGTCAATCAGCTTTTGAATTGTTTTCTGGCAAGCTGAGCTCACAGTGCTTGGTTCTCTGTCAAGCTGTCTCCTTACAATCTCGTCTGGCATCAAATCCTTCACTGCATCTGAAATGTTCTTGGCCGATTCCATCAAAGCTTCTGAGGCCAATTGAATCTTCTCAGGCAAATCCACTGAATCTACATGAAGCTTCATATGCATGTTCTCCACCTTGACCTCGTGCAAATCTTTCTGCAAAGAAAGATCCAGGACCAAAATGGCAAGCTCATGTCCCTGAAGAGCTGCTTCACCCAAGATCTGAACGGCAGCCACTCTGCAAGTCGGGTTCTTACAAGACAAAGCCTTCACCGCTGCGCCAATGGCCGACACATCTCCCTGAGAGCTCATGAGCTTCAAGACCGTGAAGCTGAGTTCCTTCGAGAGCGTGGAGCCAAAGCGAGCTCCACCAGTTTGAGCTTCCTCATTGAGCCATCTCATTGCAGCAAACAGCAGCCTTTCGCGCCACTTGATGGCCAATTCTTGGACGAAGTGAGAGGAATCCTCCAAGCTTGAGAGAAGCGGGGCCACGGCATCAGATATCCCAAGCATCGCGCCTGACATGAGCATCATGAGTCTTTGCCGTGCCTTCATCACCCGTGCGAGATCTCATGAACTCTCACCGTTCAGCAAAGGTACTATGGCCCAAGACCTCAACAGCACCCTGCCGCACAAAGAACCTGGCAACCATTGTGCAAAATAGAACCCCCCAAAAAAGAACCAATCACACACGCAAGCTTGCGATAGAACACGCAAAGATTAGCCGATTGAGCGGTTTGTTGCTGTGGGCATTTTGGGCAAGCGTGAGTAGCAGTGTGAGTCATCCTGGCTGCACTTCACACCTGGAATCCGCCAAATGCCCGATGGCCAGTTGCAATGCAGTCTTGTTCCAGGCGCACCGGCCAAGAATCCTCACAGAGAAACACCTGACGAACAGTTTGTACAAGGTTGACAATCTCAGCATGCACGCTGACCATAATTGGCGCCTGAGCCATGATCTGGAATCAGCGAAGAAAGAGTTTGCCGCAAGCAAGGCTGAATCGTCTTCTTCTGCCATGCATCCCAAAACCTATGGTCCGGTGCAGCACATGGGGCACGCCGACATGCACATAGAGAGGCACACACACACAAATCAACTGACTCAAAAAATGTAAAACAAAACGAAGAACTCCTTCTCCATCACTTCCATGGTGATCTTCCATGCTGATTCTTTAATGGAGCTTAACAAGCTGAGCTCAACATGTCTGAATGAGGTGCAAACAAAGGACTTCTGAGGCAGCTTCCCTGTCAACTGGCGAACGAAATCAGCACAAGTGAAATCGGTGTCTTTTCTCCTCATCGCTCTTACAGAACGGATCAGGCCTTATGAAGGAGCGACCGTCTTGCATCAAGGCAAGGATAATGCCAATCACCTGCAGCTTCGATTGACCCACACTTCACCCTGAGAAAGCTGGAGACATCTTGTTGAGGCAACGATCTGGTTGAAGACGACAAGATTCCAAGACACACGAGCCACATAAGTTATCACATAAGTTATCATAAGCGTTCAAGACTTTCTTAGGTTGGAGGCCATCGCTCTTTGGTTGGCCCTTGCTATTAGGTTGAATGAATCAGAGCAAACACGTGCCTGAGAGCGATCTGGTAGGATCGGCCGCAACACCCGCGCAACGTCCGCACGAATCTCCGGGTCTGGATCTTGCAACGCAAAGCTTAAGGCGCCCAAAGCCTCCTGAAGGTCTTGTGAAAGTCGAAGCAAACATGATCAACGGTGATGAACGATATCATCTCAAAGTGATCAATGATCAACTCCTTCCAAATGCAGCACATGAACTCCCAACACACGTCGTCATATGACGGGTCATATGATAATATGTGTATAAAGGTCTTCGTCCCTTTATCGCTATTTGTTAAGTGTCCTTGGAAATCTAGGAGCCAAATCATCAGTGCGAGCGCTTCTTGAACTGAGCTTCCCCCGCTGCCTTTAGGGCGGCGCGGAGAGCTTCCTTGAAGAAGCGTGAGCTATCCTGCGTCCAGTAGTTAGTAGCTACCTAGCTCCTACTAGCTACCCAGCCACTACTAGCGGCCAACCCCCCTGGGGCTAAAAAACTTGTCTTCCCAAAGTCCCAAGCGGCCCTGCTCCTCGTCCAAATCAGCGGCTAAAGTCTCTATGGCATTCCGTCGCAGGAAGGCTTTAGTATCCAGCTGTCCAGCGTGGCAAATGCGCCTGACTCACAAAGCTCAACGTGATCTCCGTTCGTAGCGATGCCAGGAGTCCCTAATAGCGTACTTGCTCCTAGTAGCTCAAGAATTCTTTATAACAACATTCAACCCCTGATTGAGAGTCCAAGACTCTTCTCCAAACTCTTCAACCAAACGCAAGTGCCCACGCGTATACGCATGACTAAAGGTTGCATGCCTCGAGTGCTCTCGTCGTGTTGCAGGAATGTCACCTCAAGTGCACTAGGAGGGTGTGCTGGTACAGGATGTGATCATGAATCAAACAGGAATCAACACAACAACAACCATCTGTAGCTACGACCGGGCCGACCAGGGTCTATTATCTTTTTCGCAGGTGGTAAGGATTGTATGCCGTCATGTCAATTGGAATCATCGAAGGTGAGTGGCGCAGAATCTTCAAAGCTGCTGCGCGGGATGCCATCAACCCCATGAAGGCCACTGAAGGCCATGCTTTTGAAGGAAGAGCTTTGCGCCACAGGCTTCCAAGGAACAAAAAGCTACTAGGAACAAAGGGCATCGCTATACTAGGAGCGATCGGACGCTACTAGTAGCTCCTAGCCTTACTACCAGGCTACTAGTAGCAAAGGGCATCGCTTGCTATTCCGTGTCGTGATCACGAAGCAATTTACACAGTGGTCATTCGTGATCCACTTCGCCTTCTATTTGCGATACGGTGGAATGTGACCAATGATATGATCTGGCTAGCAGCTGTTAGGCTCTTAGGCTTTTCGGCAAGTGTCCAATGCTTTTCGGCTGTTTCCGACTTGCAAGCCCAAGCAATTGGTGCATCAAATAAGTTCCCAGTTATGATAGTCACATCAACTTGGCAAATGTGGAACCAACCTAAGAGGAATCGCCTCCAACATAATAGCATGAGGAACCTAATAGCAATGGCCTTTGTTCCTAGTAGCTTCTTGCTCCTAGTAGTAAGGCCAGGAGCCCCTAGTAGCGTCCTTGCTCCCAGTAGTAAGGCCAGGAGCTCCTAGTAGCTTCTTGTTCCTAATAGCAATGGCCTCCAACCTCATAACACATCTTTCACTGACCACTGCAACTGGTCATTTTGCACGCGGAGGCGGTGACATGCTGTACACTGCACAATCACCGGCGGCCAGGTTCCGCAGGTGTTCAAAACTGGCAAAATGAAGAAAGGCCAGGTGCCCCTGGTGTCCCCCATTGTGGGGCCATGTGGCTTTGGGTGTGCTTCTGCCACAGGAAGGACCTCAAACCAATGGTGAACCTGGTTCTGATCCCTTAATTGATAGTGCCCCAAGCCTGAGAAACACTGTGAGACTTAAATCATCGTGCATTCATAGGCTTCAATTTGCTTCGGCTTTGAAACGGTAGAAGCTCTCAACAAACCTTAGCAGCTGCCTCTCGACAAACTTGTAGCTTACCACGGACGTCTCGCATCTTTGCCCATTTGGGTTCTGAAAAAACTGCTTTTCCCGCCACATAAAGAACCCCAAAGAACCAAAAAAGAGTCTCAATATTTATCAATATTTCTCGAGTCTGAATGGACATGCAACTGTTCTGAAAAAAACACCTTCTGATTTTCCTTGATTTCCTGCCGCTCTGGGAGCCCGACGAGTCGCAGGTCGACTGCACAAAGACTTGTGTCCAGCGAGAAGATCCTTTCCTGCAATGAGCCCATTGTGAAAAACTTGAAGCGGCAAAGAGGAAACAAGAAGGAAAGAAGAAAACAACAAAGAAAAGCGAAGCAAAGCGAAAAGGCAAAATACGAAAAAGGCCATGGAGTGAGGCCCATTCAATGATTTGCTCGCAGAATGGCAATGAATGGCGAATGGTCACTGGCACTCTCGGCCACAAAAGAGAGGTTTCCGTCATCTTGATCCGCTCACGGTGTCACGGATGGTCCTGTCCCACCATAAAGGTCGCAGTTGCACGGCTTTCCGCTTACCAATCCGCGTGGTGGTTGCCATCCTCATGCCTGGCACAGCCGCTCAACACCGCAGCACTGCTGTGTCAGTGTCACTTCAGACAAAATCTGCCTGCGAGCCCGAGATTCTTGGGACTCCAAGAGTTAAAACGGCAATCTTCCAGGTGCTGATTCACTTGAAGTGTGATAAACTCCACGAAAACCAAAGCCATGAAAGAACTAGTGTGGTCCAACTTTCGGGCAGCTGAGCTGATCTAGAGAATGCATCAGAACGAGCAAGCGGAGAAGCGAACGGGAGTCAAAACACTCAAGGAATGAAGAGCGCGACTTGCAAATGAACTACTAGTAACAAGTGCATCGCTACTAGTAACAAGTGCCTTACTAGTAGTAACAAGAAGCTAGTAAGGGTTTGTCCGTTTTCCTTGTCCGTGGCTGTCTGAGGTTCCGCGCGAGCACTCGAGTTGCGCCCTTTGGAGCCATATTGGGCAAACCACAAAAGGGGGCCACCTTATCAAGGGATCAAACCGTAGAAGGACTGAAAAGCAAGCCTCCAACCTACTAGCGATGGCCTCCATGATGGCTGCACCCTAGTAGTAGTGATGGCCTCCAACCTAGTAGTGATGGCCACCAACCTAGTAGCGATCGCCTCAACGCGTGATCAAACTCGCGTCTTGTCAAACTATCGGCCTGCAGGCTGGTGCCCATGACCAGCACCAAATCTACCTTATCGAAGTCTTCAGAACAACAGTCCTCGGCAAGAATACAAAAGGATTCCATCGGTTCTACCTGTGCTGCTGAGCGAATCCTAAAGACCAACTTAAAAGGTCTAGAATGCACCTACAAAAGATTGTTAGATTTCTAGCAAAAACAATGGAAGATAGAACAGGATACTAAGAAGCTAGTAGGTTGGGGGCCATCGCTATTAGGCTGAAGGCCATTACAAATTACTACTACCAGCTAAGAAGCTAGTAGCAACAAGAAGCTAGCAGGGGCTCCTGGCATTACTACTAGGAGCAAGAAGCTACTAGTAACAAAGGGCATCGCTACGAACGTAGCTAGAAGCTAGTAGTGGTGATTTGAGTCTGAGTCCGCGCCTCGAAATGCTGAGGCAATGGATCTCCGTAGAGGACGAGGCCAGCCGCCATTGATCCATGACATTCAACCACCACATCTCGGGGAAGCTCCAAGGATGGATGCAGGTGCAAGCCATCCACGTTCTGCACACTCCACGGGGTCCAACCCGGAAAAGGCCAAGAAACTAAACTGAAAGTGCTTGGAAATGCTGCCTCAACCCCCTCACTAGTCACAGCCAAACCCTTCAAGACCCTCAACCCTCCCTCCTGTGTATAGATTCGCTGCAGCCAACCCTTTTGCCAGAGCCACGCTCCAAAGTGGTGCGAAAGAGTTGGAGCAGCGTCCATCTTCCATGAGCGAAGCCAAGGCAGAACCTGGCGAAGCGAAGGCTTCAACGTTTCTTTGTGCAAAATGGCCAGGTTGGATCACATTGACGATGTTGTTGTCAGAAACGAAAAAAGCTCACTCGGCTTCAAAATTATTGTTGGACACACACTCATGGATATGCGTACTGACTTGATTGCGGTGCCACACGCCGGCCTAGGGTTCCATTTCCTAAGAGTACCAGTAGGAAACCATCGAATCCTGGAGGTCTTAAAAGGAAAGGTGGCCCAAAGCGCAAGATCGAGGTCGGCGGGCAGGTCGACATGACGACGTGTCGTGCATGTCTGCAGTTTGAGGTTCTTGGCTTAGCCTCATGCCATTCAGAAAGAAAGGAAAATCGCAGGTACGTCGGAGTGGCCAACTCCGATATCACCAGATCAAGTGGGCGTCTTCGTTGGTAGCGGTCCCAAATGATCTGCCGCTACCCCCTGCTGTAAAAGAAACAAATGCAAAAGCATCCCTATGACTCCAAGGGTGACACACACACACACACCCACACGTGAACTATACTGAGCCAGCGCTGCTATAAAAAGCCATTGCAAATGCAAACAAACCGTGAGAGCCATTCTGAAAGCAGTTTGTCAACAAATGCTTTTTGAATATGGAGGCCATCGCTAGTAGGTTGGAGGCTATGTTTTGGAAAGGCTTGAAATGCTGCAACTCTGAAAGGTGTAGAAAAAGACCGAAGGTGAAGAAACCCGACCGAGACGTCTGCCTTCTGTTCCCAAAGCTGTGGGTTTTGCTGGGCGAAGCGACGACTCAGCAACTCCTCGGGGCAGTCCATCACAGCAGGGACCAGGCTGCCGAAGTGCTCACCTTTTGTGCAGCGGAGTATTCAAAAAAAGCTTTCGATCTTGGGGAAAGGAAAAAAGAAGTCATGAAACAGCCAGTAAAAACCTAAGTAAAAAAGGCAATGCGGCATGGAACAAAGTGCACAACATTCTTTTCAGCTAAGTTCATGACCTAGAACTACTAAGAACGGGGTCAGTCCAACAGTGTACTGACTGAGTTGCTAGCGCTAAAGCATTTCATCCTTCTAGTGGTGATTTGCCCAACACTTCTTGGCCATGGGGATGTTCGAAGGTGAGTTTGACATGTAAAGATCGACTGGATGGACGTGCGAAAAGGAACTTCAACCGCAAAGCTGGCCCAAATGCCATGCCAATTGGGCATTTTGGCGTTCGGTGAGCTCTTTTGAACATGGATAATCGCACGCGATGGTGTAGTCCCGTCGATTTTGACTTGACTCCACGAATTCAGCTCTACTTGCGGACCCAAATATCACCGTCATTCCAAGTGATCGAAGCCTGCGCTTCTCTGGAGACGGTGCCGTAATATTTCATGCCTTTCAACTGAAGCTCGAGCACTCCGGGTGCAATTTCAATGACCTAGGAGCAAGGACGCTACTAGGGGCTCCTGGCCCTACTGCTAGGAGCAAGAAGCTATTAGTAACAAAGGGCATCGCTTCTAGTAACAAGTGC